CCCCAAAACCCCAAAACCCCAAAACCCCGAATTACTAAATTAATCAGCGTATCGTTAATTGGATTAATTAAATCAATTTTAAGAACAAATGATAAGTATATTAAAATATTTGGCTGATAATTCGCTGATGTATTTGAGTAAGAATTAATGCTACCTCATTCATCTTATATTAGAGAGGTATCTCCACTAAAATTACCTTTAAAATAAGTTTCCTTCTTTCTGCACTTTAGGTAAAAAGTAAAGAGTAGTCCAATAAATGAAACAACACCGAATCCGATTCCAGACCAGAAAGTTACATTAGCAACCTTTTCCAATGTTTGTTTAATAGCTGTAGTACAGTTCTTAGGAGGAGGACCTTTAGAAACCTTAGAGAATGTATAAAATTATGATTCTCCACAAGCATCTGCACACTCAAAATCATTCTCGATTGCTTTAAGATAACTCAGGCCCTCACCAACTGTAATTCCAGTATCTTTTAGATTTTAATCGAAAAATAATTGGATATAGGTATTAGCGCCAGGACATTAGGGAAAGTTATCAGCTCCACTTGCTGATGGGTATATAGGGCGATATGGAATTCCCAACATTTTATTTAACTCATCATTTTTTTAAGCTAAAGTAGACTATGGCTGACTCCAATCATCAGGATCTAAAAATCAATATTAATAAGAGATTTATTACTAGCATCACATGGACAAGCGATGGTACAGAGTTGAATATTAGCTTATTCATAGAATAAATCGATTTCCTAGAGATCTGAATTTACATTAGTAATTTCACACTGTCTATTGATTTCTTTACTCAATTAGTCTAAAATAAATTAACACTTTGAGATTTTGATAGCATTTTTTAATTTTCAAGATGAAGTTTAAAACTGATACTTTACCTTCTGCAAATGGACCAAGAAAAGCAAATCCTGCAAAAATTGCTAAGCTTACCAGCAATAAGATTATGTAGATAAAATTGAAAATGCATTTCTGATTCTGAGCCTGAAATTTGTGTTTTAGTGAATTCATATAATTTTACATATTTAAGTATAAGAAAGGTAAATGCTGTAACAATCAAGAAGTAAATTGCGAATCCTGAAGCTACCCAAATAATCTTTGTTTCATAGTTAGTCGCATAAGCTGAATCAGTTCTTGCAATTTTTATTCCCCAATAGCAGTAAAAGATTGCTGAGACCTAAATTAATATAACTCAGTAATTATTGATTTTACCAAAAATTGAAAGGCCACAATCCAAAGAACAATTCTAATGCACATATGTGACTTGGGTCTTTTTTGTACGATTTGCATTTTTATAACTTCAAATAATATTAGATATAATCTTATAATATATTAATCCTTAGTTATTTGGATTCTTTTAAGTAATATATTTATAATAACGGCAATAGCAATTTCGGTAATTCTGATGATGTAACAAAGTAATTTAAATTAAATTGCACCAAGGTAATTGAGCATACTTGGTAGACTGAAAATCAAATGCTTTTACATAGGTTAGAAATATATGAAAACTTATTTGGCTATTAAAGAGGAAAGCCCGATCAAAATGTTTTTTAAAAATAAAGAAATCAATTTACAGATTCATAGAAAGCAAGAAGACAGTAAGAATTTGATAGGAAAGATGAAGAATAAAGAAGAATTAAAATGGAACAATAACAATAGAAATAAATGGCTGAAGAATAATTCATAAACCAAGGATAACATTATAATCAATAGCATTAATAGAACTACAAAAATAAGAATAGAAATTACAATTGAAATTAATAAATCCTGTTATATATATTTTAATAATCTTTAATTCTTATTAAAGCTAATTTATTTTATGTATGGGGTTTTGGGGTTTTGGGGTTTTGGGG